CAGTGAACCGGAATTTGACAGTGTAACTGGATTTAACTACCTTAGATTAGAAACCAGGGGTTACGTTTTCGTAAATGCGGTAATGAACCTTCGGATATGTCGATGGTGTTCGTTTGGTTTGCAACGCCGTGTGGACTTGTACGTGGATACCAACGTTTTGGAGAGACATACTGTTCCCTTCTTCAGGAGTGGAGTGAATGGTCTCCACTCATTTGTTTTCAATATTTTTCAGGTGTTCTTCACGCTGTAGAGCGAGTGAAGAACACCTTATGGGCCCGTCCATGCCTGTTTGTAAGTTCCGTTTTTTCTAGGATCTATACGACATCCGTCACCCGATGTTGGATCGCATTGCGCATTGTTGCAATAATGGAACTGCCATAGTTTTAACAATTCTTTGTAACAATGGGAACATATAGCATTTTTGGAACAGTCGTTGCAGTGGGAACTGAGGTCTTCGTTGGTACACGTTGTTACAACAGCGGAAGCCGACATCTTTTTGGAACACTACAATTACCTCGGACCACAGCAGTGACCTTGAATAACATTTTTGCCTTTGTTGGATTTATTATTCTGTTCTAGAAAGAGTGGTGCACCTCCATAGTTCCCCTAACCTATGGTAATCGACGGCCCTCACTGCCCTTGATGTCTCGTGAAGAATACCTTTGTAATTTCAGTGTAATACACTTTTCTAATCTTTTTTTTCCAGTTTTTCGTAGAACGATACAGCCATAGTGAAGAGCAAGGAAATTAAAGATCTCGGTGTAGGTGGGGCTATGTAGTCTCTTTACTTCATGTCCTCAGTACAACTGTTACATATCCAAGTCGCAAGTAAAGCGTTATAGTTTGCAGGTTAAGTTCTGCAGTGATAGTATCGTGTGAAATTCTGTATGGATAGTAAATTAGATGTCATTCTTATTGTGAGGCACAGCAAATTTTGTCTATAGCCCTTTTTATGCTAATGAATTTTTTTGAATCAGTCTGGCAAATTTTGAAGACGGTATTGTAATGTGTCGAATTGATGTGTACTTTTGAACAACTAATTATGATTAGAAACTTGTTGATTGCCACTCGAAACACAGGATTATTGAGCGTTGTTGTGTGGTGTCGTTTATAAACGATAGTAAATGCTGTGTTACCTTATATTTGTAATTCTGATTTGCATGAAAAATGTTAATAATTTATTTTTGTAGTAAATAATGTTATACAGTGGAATTAATTTTATTGCTAGACCAATTTATAACCTAGAATACAGTCTTAACCGCCCGCTCTTCATTTTCGCAACCTTACAGTTTTAACTTCAGTTGCACTGTCAGGTGTTATTGCTGCGATTGTTACCGAACCATCGTGTTACTTGTATCTTCGCATGCTAATGAATTAATTCTGTGCTGTTGTTTTTGCTTTCCTGTTCTGGGACAACTAACTGTTGAGCGCAGCCGCCTGTATACCAGTCCACCCACCGAACATCTCGACTGAGGGTTTTCCTCTGTCCACGCGAGCAGTTGCAGGGACTGTCGTAAATTAAGCCACGACCGCTTCCTTCCACATCCTTTCCAATTCATTATTTTCTAGTAATCCTGTCATTCGACAGATTATAATCTGAGCTTTTGAAAGCGTCGTAAAATAAAGAAAGACTAAAAATAAGGGAGTTGCATTTTTCTGTTGTTAAATTCCAACCAGTAATTTATAATTTACATACAATTTTAATGGTTCAGCTAATGTGTTTACTGTTTGTGTTACAGTGTGTGTACTTCTGACGAGTTTAATTGTTGCGTGTCTTGTGTTTAAAACTAAAGTAACAGTGACACTCTGGAATGAAATTGCGTACATTTCGTTTCTTTAATGAAATGCGTGTACGACATCGGGCTTTGGTATTTTAGAAGATTCTTTAAGAACATTTTGTAGGCTAATTGCGAAGTAGTAGCCAGGTTCCCTTTATAACGCACCAGAGAATATAATTACCAATTTACAGGCCGTAGATATGTTTAAATTAAATTGTGATGGGACGAACGATAATTTACGCAGAACTCTCTTCGTCTGTAAGTGATGTCTCTTCCCGTCTCCGATCCAAAATTGTCAATTCTGAAATGTATCAACGACAGCTTTGCCTCTTGTTCTACTGCATCTAACTTGGCCCCTCATCTTTACGTGAGAACACAAATTAAACTTCCCCGAGAACAAAGTGCTAGGAGAATATTTGGACATAATTTATGCCCTTGTCATCAAACCAAGGAGGATAAGATGGGCGGGACATATGGCACGTGTTATACAGAAAAAAAGACTTAAACAGTTTTATTTGGGAAACTTGATGGGAAGAGACCACTTCGGGAAGCATAGGTGTGTGTTGAGGATAATATTAAAATGGGTTTTAAACATGGGTTGAACTGCTTCCAACTGTCTCGGGAAAGGGCATAATGGTTGGTGTGAGGTATGGGCCTCAGGTTCCGTAAAAGGCTGGGAACGTATCAAGTGTGTAAGGGACTTACGTACACTGTCGGTTATTCCTGCAAGCCGACTTCTTCGAAAGCTGTTTATTATTCTGGATGAGGGAGGCATATTTGGGGGTAGTTAATAACATGTTATTAATTTCTGATGAGATACGTACATAGTTCTGGTTCAGAAACATGTGCATGCTTAAACTTGTTTATTTTTCAGTAAATTATTATAAGAAAACTTGCATACGTTATCTGATAGACCTAGTATTTGCTTTTATTTGCCTTTGAAATTACATCGTATTATTAATACAAGACTTTTTGGAGTTTTCGAAATTCTGATGCATGGAAATTTGTTACATGAAAGCGAGAATTGGGGATTTTCAGTTGCGCACTTTTTCTCCTTTTCAGTTCAGTTGAACGAATTTTTAATTTCAGTTCTAAAATACAAACAACTGGTGTTAGCAAGTTGCGTCTCATTTGTCTTTCTGTAAAACTGTGATTTTTGATAGGCGTGTGTTTTTCGTTGGCGTTTTCGCTTCGTTTATTCAGGGCATACTGACAATCCCGAAACGAAGCACTGACGATCTTAGTACAAATATTATATTGCATGAAGTGTTGTATAAAACTGTGTCAACAAGAGGTAAACGTTTTTAATGTTTGTGCATAATTTCATTCCCGAGATGTTTTGCTTACATCATCTCTGAAACAAATTGTATGTTACAGTCTTGTTATAACGTTTTTTTAATGTCATAATATTAATCATATGAATTATATTATTTCTGCTTTGTGCTCGTCTGACGTCAAGATTGTTCCTCTTGTCTGCAGCACTGTCTGATTCTCTCTGTTCGCCATTCTTATATCATCTTCGGACATATCTAAAAGGTAACCAAGCTAAGCGATGCTGTGCATTTTGATTTATAGAGAACAGCTTTCTTTGCAGTTCACTACTATACCTTCCTGTCTTCCTGCACATTGTAACTGCGTGGGGTGACATGAACTGAAGATCGTAATGGGAGTGGGTGAATATTGCAGTGGCAAAGATCCTCTAACAGCTCTCTCTCTCTCTCTCACACACACACACACACTGTTAGTCTGTGTAAGGGATTACATTTCACAAGGTCACATGCATCGGCACTTGAATAGAAATAAAAAGTATGTCGGCGCAAGTGGAAATCCACAAGCAAACAGGTGTAGGGAGTGCGATTAACTACCGTACACTCGGTGTGATACTGCGTGTTACGTGGCTGTGGTGTCTCGCATTTTTCTTACGTGCAGATATTTAGCACTTTCTAGTTACTACTGCAAAACTCCTTTGTCAAATGTGTGCTTGGATAGATGCTTTATTCTAAGGTGCAGTGAACACCGAGTGTAAGTGCTTGGTCTTCGCTTATGTAATGACATTTGGTCAGGCGAGGGAATTGTTTAGGTTAACGAGGCTATATTCTATTATAGGGCCAATGTTCAATGCTTTCGAAGTTGTTGTATTATGCAGTCTTGCACAGCCTATTAAAATCTCTTGTGTTTTAACCGACTAAGAGGCAATTCCTGGTTTGATTGCATGCAGGCTGTATAGAAATATATTGGAGTGTAGTGACGTACAGAAATGAGGGTATGGAATAAGATACAAGATGAAAGAAATAGTAATGTTAATATTAGTAATTATAACCCGAATAAGGTTACCAATTTGAACACACGCATCAGTACGAAATAAAAACTGGCGTTTCCAAGTAAGGTTGTTTAACGATTATTGTGCGTGACTTTTTAACATAAAGGATTCGAAGGTATTGAACATTTATACTGTGTGCGTGTGTACACACACACATAAATGAGTCTGTACATGTCAAAAATTCTTATCACTCAACTACCGAAAATGACCGATATATTTTCTTAGTAATTTATTTTTGACAGCCCGGATTTTTCATCATATAGTCGTAACCGCCCACTAGTACCAGTCCTGTAAATACAACCCTGAGTGAATATAATACAGTTGCAAGCAAACGGTATTGACTGTGTTGTAATGATTGTAATTTACTTACTCCTAACTTGTCACGGTTGATTAGATACGATAAAATAACTGTATATTATATCTGGATTGACAAGATCCATTCTCCCTATGACTGGACACTTTGAGTTGTAACACGAATTTATCCGTTGAGGAGAAAACGGAAGTCAGAGGTAGCTAGATATAGAAGCGTTGCCTAGCAGCTGCTGTAAAATCTCCGTCTGTGTAAATGAAAATTCAGTAATAATTGCATGACATGCTTAAGGAATAATATCCGCCAAATGAGCTCTTGTATTGAGCACATAATGTAAGGAAGTAGAGTGTATTTCCCAACATCACAATCCTTGGAAGCATTAGATTAGTTGGGCTGTTGCTGTTTCTATCCTCTTTTCTGGGTTGCTTTAAGTTTCGGGAAAATGTCAGAGATTCTGCCAACATGCTGATAGCAATTGTTATAATTACATTTTTATTTAAGAATTTTAGTTTCTGTTAATTTTATGCGTAGTGAAAGTGTTTGCTAAACGAGTCAAGAAATTATGAATTCCTAGTATCTCTAGACTGTGGGTAAATTGCGTGAACACTGGGACGAGACAAATTCCAAGGTGATGCAGAGGAAGACTCAGTTGGACGCCATGCTAACGGATAGTCAGCGCTACGAGAGCAAGCGGCAGGAGGTGGAAGCTTGGCTGAGTCGAATGGAGATGCGACTCGAACGCATGGGATCTGTGGGACACACCGCCGACGTGTTGGAGGCACAACTACGGGAACAAAAGGTAAATAAATGAGCCCAGTTAGACGGTGCATCCTGACAGCTGAGGGAACTTAAAATAAAGCAGATCCCAATTTCACAGTGATTCTTTCCTGCACAAATATTAGGCCTACAGTTTGACAGGAGTTGACTTGCTTTCCCGGGCTGAGTGTAGCGAGCTGCAGTCTCATGGTGGATAAAGATTTCGAAACTGAGATGTTGATACCGTCATGTTATTTATAGCTTACCCTCACACTGTGATATGATGTCAAATCAAAGAAGTGAATTTTCTTCCTTTTACAATTTGGCATCACTGAAACTGAAATATATTTCATACGCGTCTTGTCAGTGAAAAACTCATGTAACTCAAGTGTAACTGAAAATCTAGTTTTCCGTCTCTCACTATTGCTATTTGAATGCCAGCCATAATTTTTATTTTCCACTCTTTTGATAAGTTACCCACCCGAGAAGTGGCTGCTAAGGAACGGGGTCATCTTTAGTACTAACGATTTCGATATTGTTTTGTATAGATAATGAAATTCGTCATTATGGAATGTTTTCCGTGGAAAACAGTTTTTTTTGAGAACTTGTAATAATGAATAAGCATGTATGTGGAAAACTGCGGCCGGAATGGAGATGCGACTCGAACGCATGGGATCTGTGGGACACACCGCCGACGTGTTGGAGGCACAACTACGGAAACAAAAGGTAAGTAATTGAGCCCAGTTAGACGGTGCATCCTGACAGCTGAGGGAACTTAAAATAAAGCAGATCCCAATTTCACAGTGATTCTTTCCTGCACAAATAGTAGGCCTACAGTTTGTCTGACAGGGGTCGACTTGTTTTCCCGGGCTGAGTGTAGCGAGCTGCAGTCTCATGGTGGATAAAGATTTCGAAACTGAGATGTCGATACCGTCATGTTATTTATAGCTTACCCTCACACTGTGATATGATGTCAAATCAAAGAAGTGAATTTTCTTCCTTTTACAATTTGGCATCACTGAAACTGAAATATATTTCATACGCGTCTTGTCAGTGAAAAACTCATGTAACTCAAGTGTAACTGAAAATCTAGTTTTCCGTCTCTCACTATTGCTATTTGAATGCCAGCCATAATTTTTATTTTCCACTCTTTTGATAAGTTACCCACCCGAGAAGTGGCTGCTAAGGAACGGGGTCATCTTTAGTACTAACGATTTCGATATTGTTTTGTATAGATAATGAAATTCGTCATTATGGAATGTTTTCCGTGGAAAACAGTTTTTTTTGAGAACTTGTAATAATGAATAAGCATGTATGTGGAAAACTGCGGCCGGAATATCTTAGCTTCTGATTTTATTTATTTTCCATATTTATTCTTGGATATGCTGGTCCAGAATTGTTCCTTCGACCCACGTGTTTCGGTCGACTCTCTCTTCAGAAGTGGAGGCGATCGAAGCATGAATCCAATCGATGTTTGGTGTTGGTGTTCCTTCCAAACCTTTATATATGTCCGTGACATGTTGGTGGTAATCAGTACAGCAGAAATGCATCGTGTGTTGGTATCATCTTATCTGTTGTCAGTGACTTCAAATACAGTGATCTGCTTTCTTCCCAACCCAAACGTTTAACAATCTTAACAAATATTTGGTACCAAAATAGTTCGGATGTAAGTAAAACACAATCCGCGTTGTTGGCCTACGACAGGATATAGTGGGTTTTGTACCACAGTCCCGGCCTTGCTTTTATTTCTGGATCGTGCAAGCCATGTCAGAAAGTTCATACACCTTTGCCTGAAGCGCTCTGTCAATTCTAGTAATGTGCAGTGCCATAATTTCCGGCGAGTCGACATTTATTATATTGCTGTCGTCATCAACATCAACAAGCCTGTCATCATCGTCTCCGTAAAAATGTACTTTATGTCTCAGTGTCAGTAAACTGAAATATAGACCAATAAGTAGACCCACACTCTTAAGGACGTCTCGAAGTGCCAATATCACGAGGGTCACTCATATCGAACATGGGATCATAATTCCCATCCCATGCGGCAGTCTTCAGTTCAGAACAGCGCCCTTTTGGAACGTAACCATTTAATGAATTTAAATATTACTGAGATTTAATGTTCTCGCAGCGACGGTTATGAAGATGGCTGCCTTCTGGTTGTTGCACTGTGTAGTCTTGTAGATAGTGACCGAGAAGTTTACTGCTTTGATTATCACCTATTACTTTTAACTCCATGAACGATTATCCTTAGTTGCCACAGTTGAATGGCGAATATTAACACATCCAGTTCCCATTCGTTGTCGTTCCCATGTTTAAATCTGACCTTGCACCTATCATACAGTCTGTGGTTTGGAGTCTGTTGGTCTTTTAATCACCACGTTCTGAGCCTCGTATTCAGCGGTTACAGCGAGATGACTGCTCGAAGCCATCGACCGGGCCGTGAAACCGATTTTTCACCCGTCACAAGTGTCGAGGTTAAGAACACGTGCAACTTTACCTCTACGCTTCCGGTATGTCTTCATGCCGTATCGAACAACTTTGTCTTCTGTCATCCTAACAACACTTGTGGAAGGAAGCTGTCGTGGCCTATGTTACTGCATTGCCTGCAGTGACTGAGTAAAACCATGGAAACCTACCAGTATTGGTAGCCTATAAGTTGAGGATGGAATCGAAGTCCTCCAAATAATAGCAAGTGAAAACGTTGTGACTGGGAAAAACCATGAAAACTTGATTTGGTTGCCTGTATTTGGGTCGAGAATCGAACTAGAGTCTTCCTTTATATGAAGCGAGAGTAATGACCATTGAACGTTAACTGTGGTGAACCACAGGTACTTGTCAGGGTCACTGACCTCTGGGTAAAGAAGCAGTAAATTATTTGTGGTACTTTTCTGTGAGTTACTTAGTGTAGAAGAAAGCAGTTTAGAAGTTAACCTCAACCAATGCCATGAATGGATTAAAACCAGTAAAATGTGTGTTGATAACTCTGTTTCCCGTTAATTATTTCAGGTTATGGGATACTCTGAATATGCATTGTTTCAGTTGTACATCACATGAATGTTTGAAGTGAAAGGGAAACAAAACAATTTTCGGATGGCACAATCTATGTGAATTTGAGAATGGCTGCAAAATGACTGTATTCTGTTGGACGTTCAGACTAAGATCCTTCATGAAGTTGTAGGATAATTGAGGGTGTATCATTTAAAATGCAGAGAACAATCATGTAATACATTTAAAAAATTTGATCAGGAGTATGTTCATGCCATCTAAGACACTCTCCCATCCTCCCCCGTGACACGAGTCAAGGTCACCATGATTGCTCATGCCACTTGTGCGAAAGCTAGTTAGGTGTTGTCGCATGGAAATTGCTTGCCGCTGTTCATGAAGCACTTAGAGGCTTCCTGGCAAGGAAGTGTTAAATAAGACAACAATACATTTCTAGACTCAGAAATGTTGTCTGTGACAAATGCTTATTGAGTAACAAAATATCTGAAACTATGACCATACCAATTTCAAGCAGTGCATCAGCTTCAGCTAAGGAATGTGATTGCAAGGATTCAATTTTGTTATTATTTTGATTGTTCTTTGCATGAAGGAATTCTTGTGAAATAATCACGGTTGCATCTTAAATGGAACATTCTGTATTTTGGAAAAACCAAAGTGCCAATTCATGACTCTTATTCTTAATAATGTTAAATTAATTTAATTATGGTTTACCAGCTACACAGTGTTTAATTGATGTTATTACTGCCAACTTTGATGCAATTTTCATCACATTCACAATCCATTTGTCAGACAATATGCTCTGTAAAAGTACTTAAATGAAAATAATAATAATTTGTTTATGTGGAATTAAACAGTTTTGTTTGTTTTGTTTCAGTCATATCATGCAGAACTGCACCAGTACAAACACCATATTGAATTATTCAATCAACTCACTCAGAAGTTAATTGCTGTCTACCAACAAGATGACACCACCAGGGTAAAGAAGATGACGGAAACAATCAATCAGCGCTACAACAACCTAAACACAAGGTGGGTCTGTGGCTGCCATGTTTGCAGTATTTGTGATTTTTATTGTGTCCTTTAGCAATTTATCAAAAAATTTTTTTAATCTTTTATATCACTAACTAGTATTTATTTTACAGTTTACTATGCCACATGCGGTTTAAGCCCCGTGAACCAAATACAGTAGGGCACCGCATATACTGCGGGTTAGGGACCAGACCCCTGCCGAAAAGCGGATCTTTGCCTTTTTTTTCACTTGCTAATGCATATCAAAGCCTAATAAGATGTTTAAACTATCATATAGTAAGTGCACAATAGCACTAGGCCTAAGAAAATGATATGCAAAAATATTAAATAAATATACAGTATGTATTAACTTTGAAAAATTGCCAGAAATACACCTAGTATCTCTAGACTGTGGGTAAATTTTTGTGTTTCAGTTACAAAATTGCGTGAACACTGGGACGAGACAAATTCCAAGGTGATGCAGAGGAAGACTCAGTTGGACGCCATGCTAACGGATAGTCAGCGCTACGAGAGCAAGCGGCAGGAGGTGGAAGCTTGGCTGAGTCGAATGGAGATGCGACTCGAACGCATGGGATCTGTGGGACACACCGCCGACGTGTTGGAGGCACAACTACGGGAACAAAAGGTAAATAAATGAGCCCAGTTAGACGGTGCATCCTGACAGCTGAGGGAACTTAAAATAAAGCAGATCCCAATTTCACAGTGATTCTTTCCTGCACAAATATTAGGCCTACAGTTTGACAGGAGTTGACTTGCTTTCCCGGGCTGAGTGTAGCGAGCTGCAGTCTCATGGTGGATAAAGATTTCGAAACTGAGATGTTGATACCGTCATGTTATTTATAGCTTACCCTCACACTGTGATATGATGTCAAATCAAAGAAGTGAATTTTCTTCCTTTTACAATTTGGCATCACTGAAACTGAAATATATTTCATACGCGTCTTGTCAGTGAAAAACTCATGTAACTCAAGTGTAACTGAAAATCTAGTTTTCCGTCTCTCACTATTGCTATTTGAATGCCAGCCATAATTTTTATTTTCCACTCTTTTGATAAGTTACCCACCCGAGAAGTGGCTGCTAAGGAACGGGGTCATCTTTAGTACTAACGATTTCGATATTGTTTTGTATAGATAATGAAATTCGTCATTATGGAATGTTTTCCGTGGAAAACAGTTTTTTTTGAGAACTTGTAATAATGAATAAGCATGTATGTGGAAAACTGCGGCCGGAATATCTTAGCTTCTGATTTTATTTATTTTCCATATTTATTCTTGGATATGCTGGTCCAGAATTGTTCCTTCGACCCACGTGTTTCGGTCGACTCTCTCTTCAGAAGTGGAGGCGATCGAAGCATGAATCCAATCGATGTTTGGTGTTGGTGTTCCTTCCAAACCTTTATATATGTCCGTGACATGTTGGTGGTAATCAGTACAGCAGAAATGCATCGTGTGTTGGTATCATCTTATCTGTTGTCAGTGACTTCAAATACAGTGATCTGCTTTCTTCTCAACCCAAACGTTTAACAATCTTAAACAAATATTTGGTACCAAAACAGTTCGGATGTAAGTAAAACACAATCCGCGTTGTTGGCCTACGACAGGATATAGTGGGTTTTGTACCACAGTCCCGGCCTTGCTTTTATTTCTGGATCGTGCAAGCCATGTCAGAAAGTTCATACACCTTTGCCTGAAGCGCTCTGTCAATTCTAGTAATGTGCAGTGCCATAATTTCCGGCGAGTCGACATTTATTATATTGCTGTCGTCATCAACATCAACAAGCCTGTCATCATCGTCTCCGTAAAAATGTACTTTATGTCTCAGTGTCAGTAAACTGAAATATAGACCAATAAGTAGACCCACACTCTTAAGGACGTCTCGAAGTGCCAATATCACGAGGGTCACTCATATCGAACATGGGATCATAATTCCCATCCCATGCGGCAGTCTTCAGTTCAGAACAGCGCCCTTTTGGAACGTAACCATTTAATGAATTTAAATATTACTGAGATTTAATGTTCTCGCAGCGACGGTTATGAAGATGGCTGCCTTCTGGTTGTTGCACTGTGTAGTCTTGTAGATAGTGACCGAGAAGTTTACTGCTTTGATTATCACCTATTACTTTTAACTCCATGAACGATTATCCTTAGTTGCCACAGTTGAATGGCGAATATTAACACATCCAGTTCCCATTCGTTGTCGTTCCCATGTTTAAATCTGACCTTGCACCTATCATACAGTCTGTGGTTTGGAGTCTGTTGGTCTTTTAATCACCACGTTCTGAGCCTC